TGGCGACCTCGGTGACGTCCAAATTCACGAGGTCAATAGCAAGGTTGGAGTACGGTCAACGTTCTAACGAGCTGAGGTTCGAGACCCCACCGCAAGACGCGAGTTTAATCACATTTGACCGCCCAAGCAATATTTCCTCAGTATTTAATGTCAGTCTATTAGTTTTTTAGAGCAGTAGAAATGACTAGGAACAGCTTGGAGCCTGTATAATCCTCGCTAGCAGCAATGCAAAGGAGATTGAATAGATGATTACTGACTCGTGGGGAAACTGGGATGGTCTACGGAAGGCAAAGACAAATTTACTGATGCACACTAATTAGGGAAACTGAGGAAGCAGCTGAGGACATGCGGTTGTTGAAACAGAAGCTTTATTCGTCTTCATTTTCGAGAAAGGGGACCGGTAACTAGTATACGCATGGGGTAGCATCCCAGCCGCATCCTATTAATACCGCAACCCTTGAGCAGTACCCGTGCCTGACACTGTCGCCGATGATGGTCCAGGCGTAACAAAAGCGTCCTACTTCTCAAATTCTATAAAAATGGCATTCACGCTACAGCACTTGCCTCAACTAAGTCCTTTAAAAGGAGATCACAAAACAATCCGAACCAAAACATGAGGAGAACTCTCTCGCCCGGGACGTTTGAAAATCCTCCTAAAGTAGCCACTGAAACAGTGCTCCAACCTCGCCTAGCGCTGCGACTTGCGAACATCAGACGGCTGATGCCATATTGTGAGGTCAATATAGAACCAAGAGTGATGGTTGCTTTTTTTACCTGTTAGCTGATCGCGCAATGTTGGCGTAGAGATACAGAGTAAACAGCTTTCTCACCGACGTAGTTTAGGCTCATATTCAGCGACGACCACAGCATTAAGACGGTGGATGACGTCATCAGTCACATTGTCATCGTGTGTCAGCGGTTAACAAAAGTAGTGTTAGCTATTATTTCCATCCTAGTTGAAGTCATTAACTACTAATGTAAAGCATTCACTGGTGACGTAGCAGATATTTATTCTTTTCTCATAAATTGAGGTAAACGAGCCCCGTGTCCGGAACTTTTTAGAGGAATTAATTAACGGCGAGAACCCAATGGTCATTGGGTGCCACCCCCTAATCGAGGACAATGAAGCATTACTACCACCTGTCCAGACACTCATCTGCACTGCATAACGAGTTCCCTCACATTCGGAGCTCACCGAAGGCTTCGCTGGGAGCAATAATGGACATACCCGTTATGGAAACAAGGTAAGTCAACACAAACTATTTTTCAAACGGATACCCTTCCTTACCCGATATTCTAAACGCAAAATTGGAACATCAAAAACACCAATGCTACCGACCAGTGGCTACTTCAAGTGCTTTGAGTGAGAACTGTTTGATACGGCAAACAAAGCAGAAACCGGAAATTCTGAAACTAAATACAAAAACCCAGTCTATGGCCGGAGACTGCGACAGTAAATCCAGACAGCGCAAGACACAGCGAACCAGAACGCCACGTGAGGAAAAAATGATATAAAGGCATGATTTATTAGGCAGTTAGAATAAAACGCCGAAAATCAATGATTTTGAGTACTTGAAAATTCATTGTCAAGCGTTCATAGTATGCGTCTCTATCAACTGGACTTCTTCTCGGCCTCGATATCTACAAGGAAAAGGTAGCGGCATTGACTGAGTGACCATGGTTAACATCTGTGTTCGGCGACGGACACGAAAAAAAGTAGATGCAGATAGCGAGTGTGTGTAAAGGTCGACAGTAAAACTAGTGTACAAAAAGAGCCTTGTAAACAATATTACCTAATAACCTCACATGCCGTCCGGCAATAGTCCGATTATATGGTAATTACAGTCATAAAAATCCATAAATACCTACCTTGTTTGGTTGGAAGGACATTCTTCTCCGTAGTTTTAACGTGCTTCAGATCCTTTCCCTGTTCAATTTCCTGTCGGAGACTGACTTCTGTTTTTTCCTTCTCAATAGCTAAAAAAATATCAATAAGATAGAATGGCGTACCATCCTTGTCGGGGAGGACAACCTTCTCAGTAACCTCAACGTGTTTTAGGCCCTTCTCCTTGTCAAATTTCTGGACATCCGCAAGGACTTTGTCGCCGCTCTTAGCCTCAGCCATGGGTACGATTATTCCGCGCTATGAATGCGTTAGGTTAGTAGCGCGCATTAAATACTAAAACAAATGATCGTTCAGGTTGCTTCTTGGGTCAAGGTAAAGTATAATCCTACACCCCTGGATATGCTAAGGGACGTCAAACAGCCTTACTGTGCTGACCAATGTAGCGACCCCACCTGAACCATGTGTGTTTTGTTGGGCTAAGCCCCGCAAT